CCCGTCATGGCCTTGCTCCCCCCTACCTCTGCGACTTCCCAAACCCCTACCATCCTGCTCACTCCCTCCGCTCAATGGGTTCCAGTCTGCTTCACATCCCCCGAGTGCCACCTTCAGCAGAGTTCCTTGTCCTCTACTGTCTACGAAAGGACCCAAACTATCTGCCTTTATTATGCACTGAGCACCTTGTACAGTGAACTACTAATAACTCATCCCTGGCTTAACTTGCCACTACCACTTAACTCATCATACTGCCCAAATCCCAGCCACATTTATTTTTGTATTTATACATATGCCTAACTCACCACTTAACACTGAGCTCTTTCCCCTTGGAGTGACGAGTTATCAGGAGTGGAGTCCTGTAGCTCAGTGGTTAGAGCACTTGCTTTGCAAGTGAGAGATCTGGGTTTGATTCCTGGCAGGGAGAAATATTAGGCAAGTTTCCTTACACCACACACCTGTTTACCTAGGAGTAACTGGAAATCCAGTTGTTAAGTCGATTGGCAGATAGCTTTTCCAGGGGTAATAATTCGTTTTAAAAAAATTGGTCACTCAATCCCCGACTGTTTATGGGACAATGCTGTGCTCAATTGGCCGCTGTGTTTTGCCACAAAATATACAGTGAATTCACTTTACAACATATTCTGTAAAGTTTTTTGAGACGTCTCAAAGACATCATAAAGGGCTATATCAAATGCTAGGATGATTATTATTTACCCTATATATTTACCACTAAGAGTAGAAATCCATGTACCACTTGACCTTACCTTTATACTGAAATCTATCTATAGGAATAGCTCTTTTTATAATATAACAATCCTTGGATTTGATATAGCGCCTTTCATGTCAGGACGTCTCAAAGTGAGCTCCTATAAAGTGTAGTGACTGTCTCTTTCGTAGGCGAGTGCAGCAGCCAATATGAGCATAGCAATTGTGATAATAATCGTTTGCCTTTCACACCAAGAGGACATCTCAAAGCAGTTCATAGGTTACTGTGTAAAGTGGGGTGGTTGTGTGTTTCTGCAGACAAATGTGACAGACAATGTCCCACAAACAGCCAAGAAGTGATTAACCAATTTTATCTGGGGAAATTATTTGGCAGGAATCCAGGACATTCCCTTCTGTTTTTGAACAGTGCCACAGAACCTTTAACATCCACTTGAACGGTCAGACAGGCAGAGATTAGTGAAGCTATTCCACTGCACCCAGTAGCCTTGCAACCTAAAGAGATGTGAAAAGATATCGAGATAAAACATTTTATTATTGCAGAATACTTTTCTATTTCCGAACGTCAGTAATTGCATCATTACCTTGCTGCTAGCCTGTGGACCTTTTTTTAAACTAATGTTTATGTTTAAAAAAAATGACTTCACACTCGCATCGGTTATATCAGAATATGACAATTGGTCAGAGACCTATTACAAAATGAGGTGTCAGCCTGTTCAGTCGCCTCTGAGTAAAACAGCTGTGGGTTCAAGCCTCGTGCGTAGGCTGGCGCTCTAGTGCAATGCTGGCAGGAGTACTGCACTGTCTCTGATGGGACGTTAAACTTAGGGCCGAGATGTTTAAAGATCTCTTGATACTACCTGCAATAATATTATTATGAAAAGCATTTTGATCCCCCATTTTTATTGCAGATCACATCCTGAAGTTTTTATAAAGCCCCTAGTGCCTCTAATGTTGAAACCTCCCTGTTTATTTTGAAGGGTGTGTACTACACCAGTCGGGTTCACCTCAGCTCCACAGGCACAAGTTTGGACATGTATAGTTAAACTTACATTCTTTCTTTCTGTGGTGAGTGGGAAAAGTGTGTTGTGGCTAATGATAGCGATATCATACTCCCAGCCTGTGCGATTACAGGATTTTTATGCAAGTTCGAGAAGTATCTAAGTTGAAGCTGAAATTTTAACACAGAGAGGAAAGTAATCCACTTTAAATTGCAGTAATTGCAGCAGAAGTTTTGAGAAGCGATATAGAATCATAGAATCTACAGCACAGAAGGAGGCCATTTGGGAACCCACTCCCTACTCTTTCCCCATAGACTTGCAATTTTTTTTCTTTTCAAGTAAATAACCCTTTTGAAAGTTATTATTGAATCTACTTCTACCACCCAGTGCGTTCCAGACCGTAACAACCCACTGCGTAAAAAAAATCTCTGCATCTCCGCTCTGGTTCTTTTGCTAATTATCTTAAATCTGGGTCCTCTGTTTATCAACCCACCTACCAGTGAAAAATCTCAGGACTAAATTTAGTAATCTGACATCAAATCCTTATTTACTCTATCAAAACCCCCTCATAATTTTGCACACATTATTGTTGCTCTGTTGAATTACTGCCCCCCCCAACCGCACCCCCTGCCCCCCCATGTAAATGTTTAATTATAGCATTTAATTGTCATCTGCTAACACAGTAAGAGAAAGCCAGCTGTGCTTAAGCTGGGAGGCAGCTGTGACTGGAAGCAGATCCCTGGGGGTCGATGATGTCCTGCGGGTTAAGCTGATGGTGCAGCAAGCGGCTACAGGGAATTGAGAAGCCCCCCTCCCCTCGCTCCCCCCACTCGAGGTGCACATACATGGGAAGATAGCTGTGTCCCCTCCACAGGGGTCTGCGCACACCTGAATGATAGAGACGCTATCCGCCACTTCACACACAAGATTCAAGCAGCAGTTCGTGACAAAAAAAACTACTCGGCTATCAATTTTAGACTAAATTTAGAAACCTGACATAAAGTTCACCCGTTCATAAAACGGGTGGGAGCTCGAAGGGTAATGACTGCGGCAGAAAGGGGAAAAGATCTTACAGTACTTTGCCGTAAATTCTCATTCACAATAAAAAAAAAGTCTCAACAATGAATGGTTCCTGATTGACGTGGAGTTTTCATTATTACGTAATGGATAGATTTCAAGATCATCACATGCGAGTGGAAAAATCAATTAATGCCTCGGCACCTCCCTACCTCCCCGACCTGCTCACACCCCACTACGCTAACCACCGCCTGTGCTCAGCTGGCTCCAGTCTCCTACACATCCCTCGCCCCCTCCGCCCCACTATCACGGCTGTGCTTTCAGCCATTACACCCCAAAACTATGGGACTCTCTGCCTCAATCCTTTGACCTTGCCCCTTTGTCCGTCTTCAGACCTGAAGACCTTCCTCTTGGACCGTGTGTGCCTACGGTCACCTCCCTCCTCTCCGCAGCTGGGCATCAAACTCAGCCACTGTTAAGCGCTCTGAGACGCTGCCCTACTTGAAGGGCGCTGTATAAACCCAAGTCGCTGTTGTTGTTGTGTGTGTGTGGGTGGGTGGGGTGGGTATGGGGGGGGGTGGGTATGTGTGTGTGGGTGGGGGTGTGTGTGTGGGTGGGGGGGTGGGGTGGGGGTGTGTGTGGGTGGGTGGGGGGGTGGTGTGGGGGCGTGTGTGTGGGGGTGGGGTGTGTGTGTGTGGGGGGGGGTGGTATGTGTGGGGTGGGGTGTGGGGTGTGTGTGTGGGGGTGGGGTGTGGGGGTGTGTGTGGGGGGGGGGTGGTGTGTGGGTGGGGGTGTGTGTGTGGGGGTGTGTTTGTGGGGTGTGTGTGTGGGTGGTGTGTGGGTGGGGTGGTGTGTGGGTGGGTGTGTGTGGGGGGGGTGGTGTGTGGGTGGGTGTGTGGGGTGTGGGGTGGTGTGTGGGTGGGTGTGGGGTGTGTGTGTGGGTGGGTGTGTGGGGGGGGTGGGGGGTGGTGTGTGTGTGGGTGGGGGGGGTGGTGTGTGGGGTGTGGGTGGTGTGTGTGTGGGTGGGGGGGGGTGTTGTGTGGGTGGGTGTGGGGGTGGGGGTGTGTGGGGGGGGGGTGGTGTGTGGGGGGGGGTGTGTGGGTGGATGTGTGGGGTGTGGGGGGTGTGGGGTGTGGGGGTGGTGTGGTGTGTGGGGGTGTGGGGGGGGGCGGTGTGTGTGGGTGTGTGTGGGGGTGTGGGGGGGGGTGGGGGTGGGGGGGGGGGTGTGTGGGGGTGTGTGTGTGGGGTGTGTGTGTGGGTGTGTGTGGGGTGTGTGGGTGGGGGGTGTGGGTGTGTGTGTGTGGGGGTGTGTGTGTGGGGGGTGGGAGTGGGAGTGTTGTTAACGAGAAAGCGAATGGAACAAACTTCTGATACCAAAGAGGGAAACGGAAAGTGACAAACCTCTGCCGTGAGACAAAAGGGGGTCCGAGAGCTCAGGGCTCTCATTCATACACAGTCCATAATCACCGGATCCACAGGGAACGTCCAAACACACACACACAGCACCAAACATACACCAAACACACACCAAACACACACACAGCACCAAACACACACACACACACAGCACCACACACACACACACACACAGCACCAAACACACAGCACCAAACACACACACACAGCACCAAACACACACACACACACAGCACCACACACACACACACACACAGCACCACACACACACACACACACACACAGCACCAAACACACAGCACCAAACACACACACACAGCACCAAACACACACACACACAGCACCAAACACACACAGCACCAAACACACACAGCACCAAACACACACACACACACACAGCACCAAACACACACACACACACAGCACCAAACACACACCAAACACACACAGCACCACACACACACACACACACAGCACCAAACACACAGCACCAAACACACACCAAACACACACCAAACACACACACAGCACCACACACACACACACACAGCCCAAACACACACACAGCACCAACACACACACACACACACAGCACAAACACACACACACACACACACACACAGCACCAAACACACACACACACACACAGCACAAAACACACACACACACACACACACAGCACCAAACACACACACACACACACAGCACCACACACACACACACACACACAGCACCACACACACACACACACCACACAGAGAGCGAGTGAGTGAGTGAGAGAGAGAGAGTGAGAGATCTCTTCGGAGAGGGGGAAAGAGACAGAGAGAAGAGGAGGAGGAAGGAAGGAAGGAGGGGAAGGGAGGAGAGATAGAGAGAGAGAGAGGAGGTATTTGTTTCCTTCCTGACGTGGAAGACTTGGGTCCACCTGAGTTTGGAGAGTCTGAGCGTTTCCCTGTGGGGGCCATGACCACCAGGAAGGGTTTCCACCGTCAGGACATTAACAAGACGGTGTGGGAGGTCCTGGACAGGTACTCGGGGCTCGAGGCTGTGGGGTCCGGAGCCTATGGGGCTGTTTGGTGAGTGAATGTCCCTCTCAGGGCTCTTGTGCTGCTTTACTTCCTTCAGCTTCTGTGCAGTTGGGTTTTTTTTCGTGTGTCTGTCTGTGTGTGTGTGTGTGTGTCTGTGTGTGTGTGTCTGTCTGTGTGTGTGTGTGTGTCTGTCTGTGTGTGTCTGTGTGTGTGTGTGTGTCTGTCTGTCTGTGTGTGTGTGTGTGTCTGTCTGTCTGTCTGTCTGTGTGTGTGTCTGTGTCTGTGGTTTTATTTGACTCCCACTTGAAGCTCAAAAAAATCTGCACTCTCTTCTCTTGTCGATTCTTCAGCAATTCGATCAGTCCATTTATTTGTGAATCCAGATTTTTCTCTCTCTCTCTCTTTTTTTTCTCTTTTTTCTCTCTTTCCCTTTCCCTTTCCCCTCCCTCTCTCTTTCTCTCTCTCTCTCCCCCTTCCCCCTCTCCCTCTCTCCCTCCCTCCCATCCCATGGTCAGCAAACGCACCTAAAATGTTCTTTCACAATGGTTTTTTTTTAAATTTAAAAGCAATTGGCTTAAAAACTGCAAACCAACCACTCTTCCGGGGTTTCAGGAAGTTTGAAAAGCTGAATTATTTATTAATTGTTGCCTGTGTGAGTGTGTGTGTGTGTGTGTGTTCTGTGAGTGTGTGTTGCGTGTGTTGTGTGTATGTGTTGTGTATGAGTGTGTATGTGTTGTGTGTGTGTGAGTGTGTGTGTTGTGTGAGTGTGTGTTGTGTGTGAGTGTGTTGTGTGTGTGTTGTGTGAGTGTGTGTTGTGTGAGTGTGTGTTGTGTGTGTGTGAGTGTGTGTTGTGTGAGTGTGTTGTGTGTGTTGTGTGAGTGTGTGTGTTGTGTGTGTATGTGTTGTGTATGAGTGTGTGTATGTTGTGTGTGAGTGTGTATGTGTTGTGTGTGTGTATGTGTTGTGTGTGAGTGTGTGTATGTGTTGTGTGTGTGTGTGTGTTCTGTGAGTGTGTGTTGTGTGTGTGTTGGGTGTGTGCATATATGTGAATGTGTTGCGAACCTATGCCTCTCTCTCTGTGTGTCTCTCTCTCCCTTTAAGTGTTATCTCACGGCGCCTTTGAAACAATTCACTGGTTTATGATCCCTGTTGTTTGGTTTCCCCTCCAAACAGCTCAGCGATTGATAAGAGAACTGGGAACAAAGTAGCCATCAAGAAACTCTACCGTCCATTTCAGTCTGAGCTGTTTGCTAAGAGAGCTTACAGGGAACTCCGCCTCCTCAAGCACATGAAGCACGAAAACGTAAGGGTATCAATACACTGGATTGTCATAAAGCGCTCAGATCCCACCAATAACTGGGCTTTTTCAAATGGAAACCATCCCATGTCTCTCTGTGTATCACTTTTGCTTTGAAACTCACACACAAACTCACTCACTCACTCACTCACTCACTCACTCACTCACTCACTCACTCACTATCGCTCACTCTCACCAGGCAAAGTCAGCCTCAGCAGGTTTGTTTTCAGGCTCCCTCTCTCTGTCAATGAATTACTTCCTCAGTTGGATAGGTTGGGTTGTAAAATAGTAACAACAACAATAATAATGCTTGCATTTGATATAGCGCCTTATCACGTTGTTGAGGCGTCTCAAAGCGCTTCACGGAATATATTGCAAATGATAAGAATAATAATCCTTGCATTTGATGTACCGCCTCATCACGTCGTGGAGACGCCTCAAAAGGGCTTCACGGAATACACTTTAATTGTAGTGACTGTGCATTTTGTGGGAGAAACGAGTGAAGTAGTGCTTTACTCAGTGCTAGCTGCTCTTTGGGCTGCAAATCAGCATTATTTTCACTTTCGAAAGCAGAGTTGAAATTTAATGCAGTGGTAAATTTTGAATGCACCTCTTTTTGTTTGTTCCCCTTTTGAGTCAATTAGGTACTTAACCAGTTAAGTAACCAGTGGCTGTCCCGTCATCTAATTGGGAGAAGCTGCCTCGCAGAACGTAGCTACTGAGCTTAACTGTTCCAGGCAATGAAGGAGGTCTACACTGTAAGTTCAGTGTAAAGTACTGTGCGAATCCTCTTGTATGTTGTGAAGTGTGAAGGGATTCTCTTTGATAGGAAATATAAAGGAGTCAACTATTTCCCGGATATTATAATAATGATCCTTGCATTTGATATTGGGCCTTATCACGTCTTCAAGGTATCTCAAATCACTTCACAGAATATACCGTAAAGTGAATTGACTGTACATTTTGTGGGCAAAACACAACAGCCAATTGTGCACAGCAGTGTCCCACAAACAGTCGTGGATTGAGTCACCGAATTATTGTTATTTATTTTAAAGGAATTATTACCCGGATGATAAGAATCTGTGAGGGGTAAAGGAACAAAGAGAACTGGTAATTAAAATTCACAAAACTTTAAAACTAGAAGCACCGGTGGACAAGGTCATGCTGTGTGCAATTGGCTGCTGCGTTTCACCCACAAAATATACAGGGAGTATTCTGAGTATTTATCGTATATTTGTTGAGTCTTGTAGCAGATTGGTTAGAGGACTCGCCTCGCAGGAGAGAGGATCTGGGTTTGATTACCTGGCAGAGTGAAACTTGAGGCAAGTTTCCTTACACCACAAGCCTCTGTTTATCTAGCAGTAAGTAGGAACCTGGTTATTAGTCGATTGACGGATCGTTTTTCTGAGTGTAATAATCACTTCAAACACTTTAAAAAATACTAATAATTTGGTCACTCAATCCACGTTTGCTTGTGGGACAAATGCTGTGCACAATTAACTGCCGCGTTTCGTCCACAAAATATACAGTGAAGCTCTTTGAGACGTGATAAATCGCTATATCAAATGCAAGGATTATTATTAATAATATAAAGAACCACATAGAGTTCTGGACTTTATATCCAAAGTAAAACAGCACAAAACTTAAGGAAGTAATGTTAGCTTTATTTAAAACCTTTGGCTGGAACACATTTGATGTACAGTGGTAGCTGTCCAACAAGAAAGATATTGTAGCAATGGAGAGAATGCAGCATTGATTTAAAAGAATATTACCAGACATGAGAGGATACGAGTATGGAGAAGCACTTATTTCTTTGGAGAGGAAACGTTCGCCCACAAATATACAGTCAATTCACTTTACAGTATATTCTGTGAAGCGCTTTGGGACATCCTCCCGACGTGAAAAGCGCTATATCAAATGCAAGGATTATTATTATTATTATTATATTATTTGAGAGAGACCTGATAAAGGGGTTTAAAATAATGAAAGGGTCTGAAGTAGACATAAATAGAAATTCCATTTCTTCTTGAATCCATAACTGGGATTGGGGGAGATTAATTATGATAACCAAGAGCAGAACTGAAAGAGAGTTTACGAGGAACTTCTTGACCCAGAGGGAGGTGATAATTTGAAACTCTACCACAAGCTGTGGTTGAAGCAGGAAGAATCAATGCATTTTAATAGGAAGTTTGGTGCATATATGATGGAGTAGGAAATAGGGGCAGAGAGGGAGTAGATTAAGGTGAGTCGAGGTTTGTGTAGAGTTTAAACAGTAGGTGCTTGGCACTGTTCAAAAAGAGAAGGGAGTTTCTGCTGCTTTCCTGGCCAACAGTCCCCCAAATAAAATTGGTCACTCACTCCATGGTTGCTTGTGGGACATTACTGTGTGCAAACTGCGCTGATAGGCTTAGTCATAAATACGAGCGTGGCCTGTTTCTGTGCTGTATATTCTATGTAAATCTATGTAAAAATGACTGCCACATTTGTGCACAAAATACACAGCCGCTGCACTTTAGAGTATCGCCTGCAAAACGCTTTGAGACGTCTCAATGACATGATAAGCCTCTATATCAAATGCAAGGTTTTTTTTAATCACAGAATAGTTCTGTGAAACTCTTTGAGACATTTTCCTGACATGAAATGTGCTACTGTATATCATATGCATGGATTGTTATTTTAAACACCGGCAGGAACTAGTTGCATCAAATGGCCTGTTTTTATCCAGTGGATTCTATAAGTATTTCTGTGTTTCCCTTCGGTGCTTTGTGAGTGAGTAAGATAGACTACAGATGCCCAAATTTCTTAAACACATATTCAGAAATGGATCAAAAACCAGGCATTAAAAAGTAGCCATTGTTAATTTAACTTCTTCACTGGTATAGAGTTGCTGCTTTGCCTGGCCAGAGTTTGTACTCTCTGCCTGTTCAGATGTACATTAAAGATTCAATGCACTATTCGAAAAGGAGTTTCTTCAAGTCCTGTCCTGACCGACAGTACCTCAGATGAAACTGGTCATTCAGTTTACTTGGTGTTTGTGGTTATTGCTGTCTGCAAATTGGCTGCTGCATTCACCAACAAATGCACAGCCAATACACTTTACAGTACTTCCTGTTCAGTATGACCACTGCAACCAATTTGCAAGGCAATGTCCCACAAACAGATATGAAGTGAATGACTAGTTGAAGACTTTCTTAATTTTAGGGATTGTTGGCTAGGACACTGGGAGAAACTCCATACTCTTTTCAAATATTACAATAGGATCTTTAAGGTCCACCTTAATAAGCAGACAGGACCTCAGTTTAACATCTCATTCGAAGAACATTACCTCCCAACAATACAGAAGACACCCAGTTCTGCACTAGAGTGGCTGTAGATTATGAATTCCAAGAGCTGACAGGAGGTGTGGATTCATAACCTTCTGAGTCAGAATTGAGAGTGTGACCACTGACTGGTAGATTGAGAAGTTGTGCATGGAAGCAAAGCTGATTGGGGATGTGACATATTTGGCGTTGTGCTTGAGTCACTTTGAATTGCGTGTCTTTCTTTTTTTTATCCGCATTAAAAATTAATTAATTTTAGTAGAGCTACCCAGTTCAGCTTTCTGGTGCTTTTTATCTAGAGAAAGGCCACTACCCTACGATAAATCAATCAATGTGATTACTTTGGCTGTACATATGCATTAGGAGCAAAAATATCTTGAAAGGGAAAACCTAAAATATAAATCTGAAAGGGTGGAAGAAGTCCACACAACAAATAACAAGTCCGTCATCTTAAATTCAATTGGTTTCGATTCAAGAAATAAAATAAAAAATTCAGAGAACAGCTTTCTGTATTGAACTGGAGGAGCAGTGCGGCTATTGAAATGGAGTTCAGTAAAACATCTCTGTATTTGGTCTTGTGAGTATCTCTAAAGACAGTGACAGCCTCTTTGTTCCGTCTGTGTTAGGTAGCAGTGTTCAGTGTCAAGGCCCTGTTGCCATAGTAATGTCTTTAGGTTGTTTTAGGCTGTTCCCACACTTGTTGAAACCTTCATTACCTCCATCATTGAGTTTTTTTTAAAGATAGCGAGCTGCGATAAAGTATCCTGCAAAAAAAAAATTCAGTGTTTCGGAAAATGTTAATTTTAATAGGGCAATTTATGAATAATCATGAGCTAAAATCTACAGTTAGGAATAAGTTGTTGAAGTCGGTCCTCTTTACAATTAACACAGCAGAATTGCAGCATTAGGAAGCATAGGTACATGTACTGACAATTTTGCTTGTATAGAAGTTGAATGCATTTGTTAGAAATCAAATTCTCATTGACTGAAACCGAGGCAGGCAGGTTTTCTTCAGTTGTACTACAATTGTTTCAATGACAATTCAAACAGATTGCACTTTTTGTTTGGATTGCACCATGAATACTTCAAGCACAGTGTTGTTAAAAAATGGGCTCAATGATGGGCTCGGGAAAATCATTCCAGGGTTCTCAATTCTGAAGCCCCAAATTCTTTGTTGTCTTGGGCCTTAAAACCTTTGTTTTAAAATTTAATTGTGTAGAACTGGAAATTTTTGAAGTCTTTCTAAATTTGCGAGTGATTCTTGAAACAAATTGTGGAAACCTGTCTTCTAAATTGAGACAATTCCAGAATTTTACAGCATTGTTGAATATTTACATTTTAAAATTAGGGCATTTTCTGACATTGTGCTTAGTTCCACTTATTTCACACAATGATACATACCATTGAGGAGTCTTGTAGCTCAGTGGTTAGAGCACTCGCCTCGCAAGCGAGAGACCTGGGTTCAATTCCCGGCAGGGCGAGATGTTGGGCAAGTTTCCTTACTCCACACGCCTCTGTTTACCTAACAGTAAGTAGGAACCTGGTTGTTCGTCGATTGAGCCAACATCATTGAACCTGCCATCTTGAGAATTGCGGCTTTTCTGTGCCAGTTTGCGGAATACCCGCTTAACTCAATTTAGTCAATCTGAGTGAAGCCGGTGTCCCATGAATTGTCACTGAAACACCGAAACATAATGGTGGTGTCGAAATCTTAGGACCAGTCTAGGGCTCAACCATATGGGGAGGTGGTGGTCGGGAGAGGAGGTTTCACACCTGTGTACAGTTTGCCAGTTATTAACTGGAAATTACAATGTTTCTTACAGTGTTACATTTGATGTAACACGTCGAATCTGGGAAGAAAAGTCAACATTTTCACCATAAGTAGTGAAGTTAAGTTGGGAAGTGGGTGAAGAATTACTTTGAAGACTGATTCAGTGAAGAATATTCACAAAACATCTTATGGTGATCATGGAAAGGTGCCAAAGGTCGGGGGAAAGAAAAATAAGGGCCAAGGAGCAAAACAGCGTCTGCCAGCATTCGGCTCCCAAGGTTTCTCACACTTTTTTCATGGATTTGGGGGAAATCGCAAAAAAAAGGACTTTTGCAAATCTCGTAAACTTGACCCAATTAAAGAACAAATGGAAAGTCTTACTCAAGAATTTGAGATGAACAATACTAGGTGGAGTCATGAAATCCAGTTGCAGTCTTGTAAGTTCCTGCCTAGTTTGTGATCGTGAATCAGTAGCTATTAGATTATGTCACAAGGTATTACAAACATACCATGGAATCAGAAGTGTTCAAATTGCTTTTTGTACTCATCTGATTACCTTATGTGATCGTAGATTTTAAATCAGAACTTGAAAGAGAGGGGATGAGTCGGAGGAGTCAAATGAGGGAATTCCGAGGTGAGGGGAGTAGAATCGGATAAGCACAAATTGATTGGTTTGTGTAAATTTTTTTAGCTATTTAGCTATTTATTCAGCATCTTATGGCAGTCTCAGTAATAATAATAATAATAATAATAATCCTTGCATTTGATATAGCGCTTTTCACGTCGGGAGGACGTCCCAAAGCGCTTCACAGAACACACTGTAAAGTGAATTGACTGTATATTTGTGGGCGAACGCGGCAGCCAATTGCGCACAGCAATGTCCCACAAACAGTCGTAGATTGAAAATGACCAATTTAATTATTGTTTTTGTTTTTTTGGAGGGATTATTATTAGGCGTCTGGTTCCTGAGCCAGGTGGGTAACAGCACAGCCATTCTGGCTCATCGGCAGGACTTGGATGAACAGACCAGTTACTGCGGACAGGGAATCATCATACTCAGCTCCTGTTAACCTTGCAAGCCACGGGTAGTTTGAACGGGTAGGGTGGCCCTAGCTGGACAAGGAGCGGGAAAGCTTGTGGGACAGCAATATCAATGGCAAACTGTGCGGTTTTAGCCGGTTAGACTCCAGCAGTACTCCAACACACACTCTGGGATTCCCCACGCCTCAGCTCTAGCCGACCTGCGCCTAATACGTTCTGGAATTAGGTAATCAGGATGTGTCCCTCCAGAGAGAGAGTGCGCATTCCATTCGAACAATCTATCTCTGGGATTTCCACGTGTAGGTGGGATGCATGTCATTCTCAGTTTGTTTGGATACTCTTAAGCACGGTGATGGATTTCCGCATGTGTCAGACACCCGGCTGACCAAAATATAACTTTCCTAACTACTTCACCAGCTTAGACCATCCAAAGACATTGGTATTTTTGCCATTAAAAGATGAACAATCCTGTCTTGTCCAATGAATTGTTAAACAGGAAGAATTTCCAATGAAATATTTACAGAAGTCTTGTAGTATAGTGGTTAGAGCACTCGGCTCGCAAGCAAGAGGACTCGGGTTTGATTCCTGGGCAGGGCGAAATCTTAGGCAGGTTTCCTTACTCCACATGCCTCTGTTTTTCTAGCCATAAGCAGAAACGCAGTTGTTAGTTGACTGGCAAATTGTTTTTCTGGGGGTAATAATCCCTTCAAAAATAAATAACTAAATGTAATAATAATTTGGTCACTCAAGCCATGACTGTTTGTGGGACACTGCTGTGCGCAATTGGATGCCGTGTTTCACCCACAAGATATAAAGTCAATTCACTTTACAGTATATATATATATATGAAGCGCTTTGAGATGTCTCGAAAACGTGATAAAGCGTTATATCAAATTCAAGGATTATTATTATTTTTATTACTGTTAAATCATACACATAGATACAAGGTGAATAATCTTCAATTTATTTGTTTGCCAAACCTTGAATCAAATGATAACATCAGAATGGAATATAACACTATCCAGTATTTACGATTGTTTCATTGCACATCCTGTTATTAAAACAATGGTTTCCTAACGTTGCACCATAAATAAATAGAGCTGATTCACCCAGTACACACAGGTTATAGATACATTTCGAAGCGTATTAACAACAACACTATATTTATATAACACCCTTCATGTAGAATCAGATTTCTGAGCCCCTCACAATGTCGAGGTTGGTCTCTGAGGTGGGGTGCAGCAGAATGGTTGGGGACCATAATGGTGGTGGAAAAGGTAGGTTTTATGGCAAGAGAGGGGGCAAGACGGAGGGGTCAAGGGAGGGAATTCCAGAGGTCGGGGAAGTAGAATCAGATAAGCACACTTCAATGAAGCGCACAACAACTCTTTCACTTGATGCTGTTACCAGAATTAATTATCTTAATACAGATGCATTGTAAATTGATCAATGTAAAATGGTTGTTTATTATTTGTAATAATAATAATCCTTACATTTGATATAGAGCGTTATCACATTATTGAGACGTCTCAAAGCGCTTCACAGAATATATTGTAAAGTGGATTGACTGTGTATTTGTGGGCGAAACCAGGCTGGTGACGAGAAATAGTTCAAGAGATCATTTTGAGAGGCAGACGAGTATACACAGAAATAAAAGTAAAATCAGAATCTCAAATCTAGAAGCAAGCTAATGATTTTGAAAACTGAAGATTAGAATGATACATGGTTTGTCTTTTGTTTGATGTATTCGTGTCCTATATAATAATAATAATACTTGCATTTGATATAGTGCTTGTTGTTGCAATGTCTTAAAGCTCTTCACAGGATACGCTGTAAAGTGAATTGATTATACTTTGTGGGCAAAACGCAGCAGCCAATTCTGCACAGTATATATTGGGCAACTTATATGAATTCTCAGTTGACTGTAAGCATGTTCTCTTTGCTCTCTAGGTTATTGGGCTGTTGGATGTTTTCACTTCAGATGTGTCCTTGGAGAAATTTCATGATTTGTAAGTATTTACTAAATTTAAAAAACATTTTATGGAGAGAGAGAGAGAGAAAGAGAGAGAGAGGGAGGGGTAAAATCAAAGCTGTCACTTTAAGCTTCAAAATAGTTTGGTTAGTCAATAAGGAATCATTCCTACCCTATCAGCATGAATGACAAACATGAGTCATACCACCCCCCACTTTTGTTTTCTTGGGCCTACAGCAGAGGGCGAAAAGATGATTAAAAGGAAAAACATTATTCGATTAATAAAATAAATCAACAACAACGACGGCTTGCATTTATATAGCTCCTTTCATGCTGGGTAGAATCTCAGAAACACTTATTAATAAGGTTATGACAATTTTATCTAAGCCATTAAAATAACCTTTTATCTTAATTAATAGTTCTTCCCGATGTGAAAGGCACTATACAAATGTAGTTTTGTTGTTCTTCTTCTTCAAAAGCATATTGAAAAGGCTTGACTTTCACCACCGTGACGTAATCTTTGACACTTGGCTCTGACTGATAATCCCCTCCAGTGGATAGTAAGGACCCTATGTGACAAGAATTTGCGGAGCCTAAAGCCTGGTTACTAATCAGTGTGGGCTCACAAAGCAGAACCACTTTTAATTCAGCACTAATTACCACTGGATTGGAGATCTCACACAGAGAAGCCAGAGGGTCACAGTTGTGGGAAGAGGAAGCATTGCTGTGCATCTGACTGTGCTGACAGAGGATCCCAACAGGGAAAGAATGTGTTTCCATTTCTCAGAGCTAACACGCTGTCACCTTGCTGAGCCCAAGGTTCAACAAAAGAAAAGTTGTGAAATATATAGTATGTAGAATTGGGTACAGGATGCTAACAAAGACTGCCAAACACAAGTACGCTTCCAGTCTCTGTAAAGGGCAGAAACACGAGACTAGGAATCATGCAGATGGTAACTTGACATTTGTAGGGAGAAACTGGTGGTCTGTTTTGACATTGTTGATGAATAAGAAGCAAGTACAACTCGGATCTGTGAAATGTAGGTCATGCCTAGCAAATCTGTTGAATTTGAGAATTGTAACTGAAAATTAATAGGTGAAAGTAATGTGATTGCACGTTTAGAAGCATGATAGAACAACTTAGTTATTTAGCAGTTGATGCTCCACCAAGTAACGCCTTCAAAAAAGCAACTGCCTAACAATGATTTTGTAGGGATAGGAGTAAAGACTGTGAAGATGATTCCTGATGATAGTGACGGTAGAGAGGTGGATATTAATAATAATAATCCTTGCATTTAATATAGATCTTTTCGCATCTTCAAGACGTCTCAAAACGCTTCACAGAATATACTGTAAAGTGAATTGACTATATTTGTTGGTGAAGTGCAGCAGCCAATTGCACACAGCAGTGTCCCACAAACAGTCATGGATTGAGTGACAAAATTATTATTGTTTTATTTTGAAGGATTATTATCTCTGAAAAAGTGATCCTCCAATCGACTAACAACCTGGATCCTACTAACTGCTAGGTAAACAGAGACGTGTGGAGTAAGGAAACTTGCCCAACATTTCACCCTGCCAGGAATTGAACCCAGGTCTCTTGCTTGCGAGGCGAATGCTCTAACCACTGAGCTGCAGGACGCCTGATGCCCTTTATTGTCAGTAAAAGGAGTCAGGAGGGAGTTCAATGATGCAGCGATGAGATTGGATTGATATATTTGAACTTTTGAGCAGTCTCACCCTGCTGTATGAAGTTGCCAACCCAGTCCCCAGTTAAAAGAGTAGAGAAGTAGAATGATCGTCTTAGAAGAATGAATGTAGTTGAATCATGAAGGGACCTATTGAACATGGTCTGTGAAAGCAGTGGGTGGGCTTGACGAAGCTTGATGAAGTTTCTATCATGATCTATTCAATGCATGAGCAAAGATTCTGCAAAATATCTTTCTAAACCCATAGCCAATCAAGAGGAAAGTCCCCATTGTCCATCCAGTCTTCCATCCCACATTATTTATGCTTGAACAATTTATTTCCTTGAATGCTACAAAAATATATTTTCTTCCATAGTGTTTCACAGCCAATATTAATATATCATTGAGGCTTAACCCATTCCAAAAAAAACAATCAACAAGCAATCAGTCAAGATCTTCCACGCTGACTACTGATTCTCAGAGCTCAAATAGTTGGATACAGCATTAAATTAATTAATTCTACATTAATTGCCAAATGTGTTGTTGACATGCTCCTTTTATTATTGTTGTATTTTACAGCTATTTAGTCATGCGTTTCATGGGAACAGATCTCGGCAAAATAATGAAGCATGAAAAACTAACTGAAGACCGTATCCAATTTCTGGTCTATCAGATCTTGAAAGGCCTAAAGGTCAGTTTGCCCTGATGCTGTTAAGTTTGGCTGTGCATTTCTGATACTAGTGAAGATCTTCTTCTCATCAATTTTATAGTGATCAATATTAATCAATCTGGAATATGACTGGAATATCTGGTATCCAGTATACAATTGTGAGTGTGTGACTTTTAATGGGATTATTAACTACCCTATTGTGCACTGTACTGACTGTCGACTGCATATAATGAGCTAGCTGCAATTATTTGTCTCTAGAGTACAATTGTCTGCCTGTTCAGGTGGATGTGAAAGATCCCACGACACTTTATGAACAAAGAATGGAGTTTCTTCTGATGGCCTGGCTGTAAAACCCTCCTGATATATCAGTCATTTACTTCATGGCTGTTTCTGGAAGCTTACAGTGCACAAATGCCTACCGTACTTGCTCATAAGGCTTGTCACTGGACTTGACAGCAACTCTTTTTGATATGTTTTGAGACATTTCGATGTTATAGATGCAGTATGAAATGTGAGGATTGTTATTATTGTAAATGGGATTTAGTGTGGAAGGAGAAGGGAATCTTATGACACAACAAAGAATATCCAGATGTGTTTTATTACAACAAAAATTGCTTTCCTTCTTTTTAACAGTATATCCATTCTGCAGGGATCATTCACAGGGTAAGCCCTCCTTCCTGTACTTTTATGATTAGAAAAGAAATCCGCAATGCAGTTTAATAACTTTTCATTTCAAAAGTAAAGGTGAAATATTGGTCTTGACGTGAGGTCGAATAAACTTGATCATATCTGCTAACAGAATTGTTTCGTCAAAATTCAATTTAAGGGAAGACAAGGACATGCCCGATATAGTTCTATTCAACTTATTTCCCCTAGTTATAGAAAGGAAATGTAAATTCCATTTATATAAATTTCACTTTTATTATAAAATCCTCTTTCTTAACAACAACAACAAGATTCCATTTATTGAGCGCCTTTCACGTCGGGAGGACGTCCCAAGGTGCTCGCGTACAGTTGGGTCAGGACCCGAGCAAGGGGGAAATGGTCATGGTGAGGGGAGGGAAGGGAGGGAGCGAGGAGGGGGTAGAGAGTCAAGAGAGGAGCTGAAGGCACGGTCAAAGAGAAAGGTCTTGAGACCGGCCTTGAAGGAGGAAAGAGAGGAAGCGGCGAAGGCACTGGGGGATATAGTTCCAGAGCCTCGGGGCTGAGAGGCTGAAGGCCCGGCCACCGATGGTAGGGCGGTTGGGGCGGGGGATGTGGAGCAGACCGGAGCCGGAGGAACGGAGGGTACGGGCAGGTAGGTAGGGGGATAGTAGGTCGGAGAGGTAGGAGGGAGCAAGGCCGTGAATGGCCTTGTAGGTGAGGATGAGGATCTTGAATTCAAAACCTCAGGCAAGTTTTCTTACTCCACAAACCTCTGGTTATTGAGCTGTAAGTAGGAACCTATTTTTTGATCAATTGGCAGATTGCTTTCCAGGGGTAATAATGTCTTCAAAAAGTATAATTTGGCCCCTCAAATCCTTGACTGTTTGTGTGACACTGCCATGTGCAATTGATTATGGAGTTTCTCCCACAAAGTGTGCAGTCAATTCATTTTACAGTATATTCTGGGAAGCGTTTTGATAAGGCGCTATGTCTAATGCAAGGATTATTATTATATTATGTAAAATACAGTGTTTACATTGTGATGTGCTTTGAGACGTCCTTTCGACTTGAAAGGTACTACATCAAATGAAAAGATGATTATTATTTTATTATTAATGGCTCGTTGGGAGTGGCTCTTAAGATATAGATTCCTCCTCAGTTGTACTACCTTCTCTCCTTCATGGGGTGATGGGTGTTTTACTCTAAACCTTCCCCACCCCTTTGAAGCAGCTCTTGTCTCCATTCATTCCCACTGCCGTAAACTGCAGCCCACAAGTGCTCCCATACAGTCTCTGGAAGTCTGCTAATTGCAATTTTAATCGCAGTCTCAATCATGGGGCTCTTGGCGAACAGATCCTGTTAGATATACCTTGACTGGCAGCAGTTTCTGCATAGCATTGGCCTTTGGTCATTTACCAAGCCCTTTGGATACTGTTTGCATAACCTGTGAAAATACAGCAGAAAGTGTGTGTGTGTGTGTGTGTGTTTATAGTTATATTGAAGTTACTCATTTACCTTATATAGGAGTCTTACTGAAGTTTCATTGCATGTAAAGCAGACACTAATAAAAAAAGATTTCTGAGATTGGTTCTCACTGAATTCTCACTGGTTCTCACTATGGAGTCCTGTAGCTCAGTGGTTAGAGCACTCGCTTTGCAAGCGAGAGACCTGAGTTCAATTCCAGGCAGGGCGAAACCTTGGGCAAGTTTCCTTACTCCACACGCCTAATAATAATCCCTCCAAAAAAAAACCAAAAAAAAAAAAACAATAATAAAAAAAAAAATTGGTCATTTTCAATCTACGACTGTTTGTGGGACATTGCTGTGCGCAATTGGCTGCCGCGTTCGCCCACAAATATACAGTCAATTCACTTTACAGTGTGTTCTGTGAAGCGCTTTGGGACGTCCTCCCGACGTAAAAAGCGCTATATCAAATGCAAGGATTATTATTATTATTATTATTATAATTCAAGTGATTTAAAAATACTTTTACTGAAGTATGAAATTAGTCTCTCTCTCTGCCTGTCCTAACTTGAGCCTTTAACATTCAATCTTGTCAGGATCTTAAACCTGGTAATCTGGCTGTCAATGAAGATTGTGAATTAAAGGTAAGATGCCCATTTGCAGTTCAAACCATTTGATAGGAAATCACTGTAAATTCCACTGCAAAATGACCACATACATTTACAGAATTATCTATAATTTCACTCCGCTTACACATTACGGGTTTTGATTTTGCTACGAAGATCCACATTGATTTTATGTCAAGTTGTTGATTCTGTTGTTTTTTTAAAAGATTTTCATAAAATAATAATAATGATAAGGCGTTATATCAAATGCAAGGATTATTATTATTATTATTTTCATTCATTTTTTGCAGATACTTGATTTTGGCCTGGCAAGACATGCAGATCAGGAAATGACTGGTTATGTTGTGACCAGGTGGTACAGAGCACCAGAGATCATACTTAACTGGATGCACTACACTCAGACAGGTATTGTTGAAGGCTTGCAAGCAGTTCACAAATGAGATTAGAAACCACACCACTGCTCAGTGTGTAAAACATAAAATAATTCTGATGTGTTAGTTTTTACCTCTCTTCTCTCCTAAAAGCTCAAAGGTGTGGGTGGAGTATTTCCTCCACATGTCGCAGCAGATACTTCACACAAAGGAATCACTTATCATTGTGAATGGTAGTTGATAGTTGGTCGCATGCTTCAGTCAGGTTGTGGGTTTAAGTTCCACCTCGGGACTTTGACCTCTCAAAACTAAAGTAGTGTTGCATTGCCAAAAGCACAGTCCTTCAGGTGAGATGTTAATCTGAAGTCTCATCTGCCTGTCCAGGTGGAGTCCTGTAGCATATTGATTAGAGCACTCGCCTCACAAGCAAGAGGACCCAGGTTCGAATCCTGGGCAGGGCGAAACCTTAGGCAAGTTTCCTTCCTCCACACGCCTCTGTTTACCCAGCAGTAAGTAGGAACCCTCTTGTCAGTCGATTAGCGAATCGCTTTCCAGGGGTAATAATCCCTTTAAAAAAATTCTAAATAAAATTAACGACTCTTTGTGGGACATTGCTGTGCGCAATTCGCTGCCACATTTTGCCCACAAAATATACAGTCAATTCACTTTACAGTGTCCCCTGCATGATAAGGCGCTATATCAAATGCAAGGATTATTATTGTTATGTTCAAAATCCGTGGCACGGTCTCATGACCAACAGTCCACCAGATAAAATTCACCATTCACTTCATGGCTGTTTGTGAGACATTGTTGAGTGCAAACCGGCTGATGTGCTACAAACCTACAGTCACTACTCTACAGTAAATTCCCTGTGAAGTACTTTGAGACGTTTTAACAAATACAGTAAATGATGCAGTGTTTGCCAGACAGTTTCACTGTGGAAGAGGGAGGGGCATTAATGATTGTAATTTATGGCAGTAAAACAGCCTCGTTGTAAAGGGCTCACACATGTAGAATGGCTAAATGGCCAGGTAAGAGCTGTGCTTTCCAATACTGGAAACCATCGATTACATTCAAGTGAATCAATCTTTCGTTTTTTTTAACTAACGTTATTACTTTCTCATTTGCAGTCGACATGTGGTCTGTTGGCTGCATCATGGCAGAGATGATTGTAGGTCGACCTCTCTTTAAGGGCAACGATCGTATCCTTTGTAAACCATAGGAGGCTATCCCTGTTATTCACTGATAAATGCAATGGTCCCAGCTTTTAGTCAGGTCAAGAAAAAAAAGTGTTTCGATCAGGTTAAGAGCTCCTAGACACTCTGTCACTCAAACTAGACTTAAAAATGCTGTTTCCTTTCTTCCTCATATCCGCGCCACAACTGGCAACTCCTTCCACCACCTCCGGAACATCGCCAGACTACGGCACTACCTCACCCCTCACGCTGCTGAAACTCTGGTCCACACCTTTATCACCTCAAGGCTGGACTATGGGAACTCTCTCCTCGCCGGCCTTCCCGGCACCTCCCTCCACAAGCTGCAGGTCATTCAGAACTCTGCAGCTCGTGTACTGTCCCGCACCAGGCTTCGGGACCACATCACTCCCACCCTCACTCACCTCCACTGGCTCCCCATCCCCCAGAGGATCGAATTCAAGATCCTCATCCTCACCTACAAGGCCATTCACGGCCTTGCTCCCTCCTACCTCTCCGACCTACTATCCCCCTACTTACCTGCCCGTATCCTCCGTTCCTCTGGCTCCGGTCTGCTCCACATCCCCCGCCCCAACCGCCCTACCATCGGTGGCCGGGCCTTCAGCCTCTCAGCCCCGAGGCTCTGGAACTCCATCCCCCAGTGCCTTTGCCGCCTCCTCCCTTTCCTCCTTCCTCGTGGAGTCCTGTAGCTCAGTGGTTAGAGCACTCGCTTTGCAAGCGAGAGACCTGAGTTCAATCCCAGGCAGAGGGCGAACCCTTGGGCAAGTTTCCTTACTCCACACAGAGCCTAATAATAATCCCTCCAAAACAAAAACAATAATAAATTGGTCATTTTCAATCCATGACTGTTTGTGGGACATTGCTGTGCGCAATTGGCTGCCGCGTTCGCCCACAAATATACAGTCAATTCACTTTACAGTGTGTTCTGTGAAGCGCTTTGGGACGTCCTCCCGACGTGAAAAGCGCTATATCAAATGCAAGGATTATTATTATTATTCAAGGCCGGTCTCAAGACCTTTCTCTTTGACCGTGCCTTCAGCTCCCCTCTCGACTCTCTACCCCCTCCTCGCTCCCTCCTTTCCCTCCCCTCACCCTGACCATTTCCCCCCTGCTCAGTTCCCGACCCAACTGTCCAGCGCCTTGGGATGTCCTCCCGACGTGAAAGGCGCTCTATAAATGAAATCTTGTTGTTGTTGTCTTGTTGTTATCTTCAGCAACAAGTGGATCACATCTCTAACTCTTAACTCTCTGGAAAAATACGAGGGATATGCAACATTCAACCACTCGGTTAATTACAGAATGTAGAGGGAAGAGCTATGAGGATTTTCCTTTCTTGAACTGAGAAAGCCAACGAGAATATAGAGATATTTTATTTGGATCATAATTTTTTTTCCTAACTATGTAGGACATTCAGGAAAAAAAGGATTTTATTTTCAAATAAGGAGAACAGGATCTGCTAATCAAAACAAAAAAAAAATAACCATCAGCCAATTTAAATCTGGAGCAAATAGCATCAGAATTGATTCGGGGCAGGAGCAAGTCTTGACTAATAAATATTTATAACTTGGTGAGAGTCATTAGGTATGTCTGATGTTATGTTTCCTGGTGTCTCCTATAGTAGCATTCACAATAGAGCCCAAGCTGTAAAAGGAACTTGTGCTATGCGATCACAGAGGGTTGGGAAATCTGATTCATGTTAATTTCACATCAGGATATTTTTCCCCCGAGCAATTTTGCTCAAATTCCTCAGACAACTTGATCCTTGACCTATAGTTTCCAGATCTGGATCAGCTGACGGAAATAATGAAAGTAACAGGCACACCCACGGCAGACTTCATCCACAAGCTACAAAGCCAAGATGTAAGCAGAACATTGCAGAATTTTTCAACAGAAAGCTTCATATTTATTTGTAATTCCTCACTGTTTTCTGAGACACTACATTGCATGATGGACGCTATATAAGTGGAATTTGTTGTTGTATAACTGTGGTTTGACATATAACACTTTCCTTTGCTGGAATTCTAGGGGTAATGGATTCACACAAGACTTCTGTGTCTGCATTTCCCAGTGCAGACTGGAATGTAGCCAGCATTGATCTGAAATATCTGGCAATCTTTACATTGGTTTTCAGCCCTTTCAGCATATCTTGGATCTCTACTTTTGACCATTCTATCCTCCTCCACTGTCTCTCCTCTCAGTTCAACCTTCAAAGACCTGCCCTTGCCTGGTTCAAATCCTACCTCTTCCACCGTCACTTTCAAAGCCCTCCATGGCCTTGCTTCTCCCTATCTCTGTGACCTAACCCTTACCAACTTGTCCGCTCCCTCCACTCAGCAGGCTCTGGCCTGCTTCACATCCCATGCCTCGCCCGCCACACTATTGGCGGGTGGCCCTTCAGCCTCTCTGCCCCCCCCTCTGGAACTCCATCCCACGAACAGCTTCCCCAGCAGCACCTTCCTGCGTGGCATCCCACAAGGCTCTGACCCTCTCCTTTTCAACATCTACACGCTCCCCTTTGGTGACATCATCCGCAGACACGGGGTCACCGCCACATGTATGCGGAAGACACCTAACTCTACCTCCCTGCCTCCACCCTCAACTCCAGGACCACTGCTGTCCTCACAGACTGTCTGTCAAACATCAAGTCCTGGATGAGAGCTCACCATGAGAGTCCAACTTTGCCCCTGCTAGTGGCTGCCGCCATTGTGGTTTCAGATCGTGAAGTAGTGTTCACTGCCTCGTTGCACAATACCTCATGAACATAACTCAATCGTCCCAAGTTAGGCTGGTAATGAATGACACACCATTATTTGCAATCAAGCTGAAGCTCACCCCTTGTGCCAGAGCTAGGGAGGGGGTGGGATCCGGGGTAGGAGTACCTAGTTGAAGGGCCCCCAATAACACCATCTTGCTTGCGTCAATCATCCTCCTAATTGTCACGGAACTATACATTGTTTAGCCAGCTTCGGCCTGGCAGTCCAATCCAACCTATTTTCATGCCACATCTACTCCTACGATACAGGGTCAAGAGCCATAACCTTAACTGCATTTTGCGATCAGTGAATTGCCTGCGTGGCTGTTTCAGGTCATCATGTTCTCTCTTTGAACCTGTTAATTACATTTAATGTTGTTTTCCTGTCACAGCAAGAAAATGATCTGCTGAAGCAGAGGTGTTACCATAACAACAAATGCATGTCGCCTGCAGAAGCAACAGACTGCATAAGCAACAGACTGCACCAGGCAGATCTATTATTAGCTGATGCTAAACGAAACTGCTTACACTTCACCTTTATTTTAGGAAGCCAAACAATGGAAAAAAAATACTGCAGGCTGATATGCCATGGGGTCAGTTTTGCAGTATTTCCTAACGTGATACCTTCATTAAGAAATCCAAAAAGGGACGTCTTTCCATGGTGAAGGACTGCAGAGGCCGACTCTGAATATGTATTGAGTTGGAGCAGCATTCCTGAGTCTCTGTCACACGCTTTCAGGATTCATAGTCAAGAAATCCCATTAAGAAATATTTCATAAATACTTCCTTACTATTTCCGCTGATAATGTCAATGATTTGATTATATATTTTCGGATGTCTGTGGTGACATGAGCTTACCACTGCATTTCCCCCACAGTCAACGTTGCAAAAGTGAACACAACGAGTACAATTTACACAATCAAGGTTTCAGCCATTCTGCCCTGCTCACACAGTCTCATTGGCAGAAGTGACCTTCTGCGCTGTAACTTCTATTATTCTATTTTCCATAAGCTTAAAAGCAACTGCTTGTACTTTTGTTCCTTGCAGGCTAAAAATTACATGAAAAGTCTCCCACAACTCCAGAAAAAAGACTTGAAAACTTTTTTTGCGAATGGAAACCAATTGGGTAAGAAAGTGCTTTTCAAGGATTTCTCTTTTCCACAATCAATTCGATGCTCTAGCCATATGCAGCACATCTTTTGGAACTTCCGTCATCCATTATTTTACGTTCTCTTCACTTTTTTTCTCAAACCAGCCGTCAACCTGATGGAAAAAATGCTTGTGTTAGATTCCGATAAAAGAGTGACAGCTGCGGAAGCGTTGGCTTATCCTTACTTTGAGCAATACAGAGAGCCCGAGGAGGAGACAGTGGCTGAGTCTTATGATGACAGTTTTGACAACATGGATTGCACAATCGAAGATTGGAAACGTAAGCACATCTTTAATGCTTGCTTTCCTCTGTGGTGCCTCCGTGGATAGTAGGGCTGATGTGGAGCATCTGACGCTCTTAGCATTCCATGCACTCGCTGCTTTGTTGAATGGGTGGCACATGTGAAGTTGGCTCTCAAGCAGTGAGATAACCAGAGGCTGTCAGTCGAAATCCGTGTGGTCAAGGAGAGTGGGTTTGTTAAAACTTTTAACAAATTTTAATTTAGAATAATCAATTCGATTCCCAGGCAGGGAGAAACCTTGGGCAAGTTTCCTCGCTCCACATGCCTCTGTTTACCTAGCAGTGAGTAGGAGCCTGGTTATTAGTCGATTTCCATGCTGCATTGGGGCAAAATAAATCTCTAGATTTCTTTACATGAATATATTATTGTCTGTCCTCCACCCACTCCATTTCTCATTGGCAGACACTATCATTGTTTATTTCGGTCTCTCGGCTTACTTAGCATTCTGATTTTAAAAATTGTGGTCTGTGGCAACATGAAATTTGTGCAGCTGGTAAAAGTTGGACGTTTTGAAGGAAGAATAAAAGTGCTTCTTTTTCTGCAGGTCACACGTATAAAGAGATGACGAATTTTAAGCCAACAGCAGGAGCGTCAGAGACTAAGGAAACTGCAGTGTAGCCACAGAATGGTACATATAGGATAACACGGAAGAGTATATATTCTTGCAGCAAGCAGCCGTGACGACAATAATTATTTTAGTTGTAATTTGTCTTCAGTGGTTTTGTATAAGGTGTACAGTTACTTTTATTTCATGTCCTTAGCCTGCAGTTCACAGTGAAACTTTACAATCTTTCATTGAATGAAACATAAAAATCTCATCACTGGCGTTCCTTGAAAAAATACCTTAGTTTAGTGTCCATTTTTATTTTGTGTATTCTCTTTACTGCAGATGAAATTCAAATTGCTTGAAACTATAATTGAGAATTGTACATTATAATTGGAAGATTTGTATGAATGCAAGGCCATTCACATCATATTTTCAAGGAAACATTAATTGACAAGACTGAAAAGATGCCATATAATTAATGGACTTGAACAAATTAACGCAATTTCATCCTGCAAACCTCCTTGTTATTTCTGATCTTTATTCTGGTATAGGTTGCTATTTTATACTTTAGTTTGGTTTCAGTTATAATGAACGTTAGAATATGGGACAGAACATTTTTCCGTTCCCTATTCCTGATAAGAGGTGCACTGGAACAGCAATTGTAATCGTTCGAATATTTGATGGGTATTCAAATGTATGTCACGTGATCTAGATTACTACAAACTCTTATGTTTAACCCAGTGGTGGTGCTTTACTCAGTCTTGCTGAATCAGCTTAGATGTGTTCCATAAACCTGCCCAATTAATTCAGTGTTCAATTTCACAAATGTTGCAATGCAGTCCGTTGACTTCTTTCGCTCAGCTCTCGAAAACGTGAAAGAACATTTCAACAGTTTTCTCCATCTAATTTGTCTGCAAAAAACGTCGCCACACTTGAGAGCAGTCACTTGCAAAGTACTTTGAGATATTTTGAAATGTAAGGTGAATCTATAAAAGTTCGGGGGGGGGAAAAATCCCCGATTTGGCCATGTTTATCACCTCCCCCAGGAGGGAACCATCTGGCCAATATTGTGTGGAAGGTGAAATGCGGGGAGATTCTCCTGGAAATAAATTGAATGGTCCATGTGCCTTTTATCATTCTTTTCCTGTCTATCTATCTATGTCGCTATGGTGCTATAAAAATACAAGTTCTTTGAATAACATTTCTATGCCATATTCATTCATTCTGTGTGATTTTACGTGTAATCATTTTCCATGTAAGAACTGGCCTGCTTCTTACCAGTATTCAATCCAATACTTAAAACATTTTTGATACAAGCACCTTTGATTTTCTGAATTACTGTACAATCCTCCTGTCCACAATTGCAGTCACTATGCTTGTTAGTAGCATTTTGAAGCTCTTTGGGACATTTGATGTGATGATAATCTTTAAAAATGCTACGTGAGCTGTTTGATCCAGCATCAAAAAAAGCAGTGACGGTGCAGGATATTGTGTAACTTAAGGGGGTTGTGCACACTGAACACAGCCGACACCTTTGTAACCCATGAATGGCATTTTAGATGCAGTTTGTGGCATAAAAATTAAAACATTTTAAAAGGTGAGTGTTGTCAATAAAAGTCCACATAACACTGCCCAGTTGGTTAAGTTGGTTAGTGATGTTAAATTTTTCAGTGGCTAATTTAAAAAAACATTGATACAGTATATGAATGGACCTATATGTTATATATAGCTTATATGTTTACAATAATACATAAGTTTGAATGAGAGTTCAGATATGTTCCTGCTATCCTACATGTTACTGTTGTTACCGCAATTCTCTCGCTCTTACCTGAGGTTTATTTACAGGAAATAACCAGAGGTAACTTGCAGGTCAAAAAACATTTCTTGGACATATGCCAAAAATCTCAAATTTTGCAAAGTGCTAGTACAGGGAATATTATTCTTTAAATTTGTCAAAAGTCTCAGATTATTACATAGCATTAGGAAATGCTGTGTGCAACATAGACTACATGGAGTCCTGTAGCTCAGTGGTTAGAGCACTCGCTTTGCAAGCGAGAGACCTGAGTTCAATTCCAGGCAGAGGGCGAAACCTTTCAATCTACAACTGTTTGTGGGACATTGCTGTGCGCAATTGGCTGCCGCGTTCGCCCACAAATATACAGTCAATTCACTTTACAGTGTGTTCTGTGAAGCGCTTTGGGACGTCCTCCCGATGTGAAAAGCGCTATATCAAATGCAAGGATTATTATTATTATTATTATTACATATCTCACGTTGCAAAATATCTCACCATGATAGAGATTTCTGGGGAGTGGGGGTTGTTATCTGCTGGGTATGTGAAACATGCAGAAACCCATCACCATTGCTTATGCAAGCCAAACCACTGAGAGTTGCACATATGCTTGGAAATTTTATTTCACTTGTTGAATGACCTGCTCTCTCTCCAGAAACATGCATCCTGTTTACCAAATTCCGAACAGTATTTATTAGGCCCAGGTTTGGCAAATGCCAAGGCCTGGGGTTCCCAGAGTCTGCATTGGGATATTGCTAGATTTTAACCAACTGAAAACCGAGAACACTGACTGGCAAGCTTTCTGCTACTTGTCCAGCTAGGACCACCATAACCATCACACATGGGCTTGCAGGGTTAACAGGAACCACAGGATTAACAAGAATCACAGTAACTGTTGTGTTCCTCCCAAGGTCCACTGATGAGCTTGGCTGGTCCATATCAACTTAGTGCTTCAAAGTGCTGTGTACCTGTCTGGCTCAGAAACTGGGCTAGCAAACTTGCCAGTTAGAAGTGACTCAACTCCAGTGATCAACTAATAGGTGTGTCAATATCTTGGGGGGAGCTCAGCCCCCAAAGATACAATGGTAAGCCCCCCCTCCTCCCTGGAGTACAGTAGATTTCTGTCCAAGGATAAAAACATGTTGATCTAAAGAGTGTTGCGAACAGCAACCTTGATTTGACTTCAGGACAAACATTTGGTCACAAATCATCTTCTTTGATGTGAAGACCCATGAAAGCAGCTCTGGGTAATTTATCCGTTTTTCACTTATGTTGTAGATATCCATAAATAAAGAAAACTGTGGAAAAGACTTTGTAAAGTCTGGATATACACAGGATGTTTGTGTTAACATTGTGATGTTTTGAATTCAGCAACATTTGAGATTACTCAATATCCCCAGGATCTAAAATTCTTCAACAACAGATCAGATGACAAGTTAGACAGTGATTCTTTTATATAAGGCACAACTAAAAACAGTCAACAGTTGGGATAACACTGGGACCATCATACAAGTAGTGTCAGTAGAATCTTCATATTATATATATACTACATAATATTGTTATCCTCAGATTTATTAAATAGTTTTTTTTAAACCCAAATCCTTTTTTTAAACCTGGCTCACCAGGAATGGGCAACTCGGTGAATAACTTAGATTTCTGCACAAGGTCGTTTTTAAATCGATTATCGGTGGGCAAAATGCTGACGCTGACAGATAATCCACCGTAATAGGATTTATTCTTCTAGCCATTAGCAGTTTCGCATGCTCACATCTCCTGGTGTAGTCACCTCCTGTTTGTGAAGCAATGCGAAAGATGCTCTTTCCATCAGGCATAATGGTTCAGCACATTTTGTACAGGGGATTTAAATCACTACAGGATAGAAGACATGACCTGAATTTCATCCTTCCCCACTTCTACTCTAACCAAAACTAACCATTGGTCATACAGTGGCTGTCCTGTTGAAATATTAAGCATTGAATGCTACTGCTTATACCAGCACACATTACATCAATTTATTTCCAATTACATTTCAAATCCATAGTTTACAGNTTTTTTAAACAAAAACTCAATCTCAGCTTTAGTACTTTTTAGTGGGCAGAAATTCCACCTGGATCTTGGTTTACTCTTAGTTAAGTTATAATTCGGAAGTTCAACAAATTCTAAATTTTTTTTTGTAAGTTTCTTTAAGAACTATAGAAAACCGACTTCAAAGTTAGGACTGAATTCAACAATTTGCCAATTCTGGGCATTCTAAAATGTTCCATACAACAAGAACTTGCATTTATATAGCGCCCTTCACACAGGATAGTGTCTTGGAGCACTACAAAACACAGTAAATCTGAAGCAAATGAAATTTCTCCCTCTAGGTTAACTACCTTTGTTGTTATGATGCAAAAGTACATGTAAAAGTCTTACTGACAGAGGTTTCTAATTATCTATATAGAATTAAACAGATGATCTTTTTAAAGAAAGCGTCTTAATTATGACTTTATACTGCGATTAAGTGTTCACAGCCTACATAGAAGATACTACGTAATCTTTTGGAACGCTAGTAAAACTAAATTGAACTAAACTTGATTTGTGTGATCTATATGACTGAGGCTTTATCCTCGGAAGAAGCGAAACCACTACTGATGATTGAGGATTATAGAATTATACTGTTACTAACTAACTCAGGCCTAAAACATTAACAAAGTATGGTCCACATAAAAATTAATGGAATTTGTTGTTGTATTTCAATAAATACCTTTTTTACATGAAGAACGTCAACTGTCTTTTCTTCCCCACATCCAAGCCATGACCCGCTCTGCCTTCCCTCACCTCCGTAACATCGCCCGACTCCGCCACTACCTCACCCCTCAGGCCGCTGAAACTCTTGTTCATGCCTTCATCACCTCCAGGCTCGACTATGCAAACGCCCTGCTTGTCGGCCTTCCCAACTCCTCCCTTCACAGCTGCAGATAATCCAAACTCTGCAGCTCGTGTCCTCTCCCGCACCAAACTCCGTGACCCCCATCTCCCCCATTCTCGTCCGACTCCATTGGCCCTCTATCCTTCCTTCAGAGGATCCAGTTCAAAATCCTGGTTCTCACCTACAAAGCCCTCTATAGCCTCACCCCACCCTACCTCTGTGACCTCCTAACCCCCTACAAACCCGCCTGCTCAGCCAGCTCTGGCCTGCTCCATGTCCCCCGACCCACCCGCCCCACCATTGGCAGGAGAGCCTTCAGCCATTCTGCCCCCAACCTCTGGAATTCCATCCCCCAATCACTCTGCCTCGCCCCCTCCTTAGCCTCCTTCAAGTCGCGCCTCAAGATCCTCCTCTTCGATTCATGCCATCGGTCACCCCCCTTCCCCTCCCTTCTCCCTCCTTGACCCCAGCTCGGGTGAAATGCTGTATACTGTCCAGCGCCTTGGGACATCCTCCCGACGTGAAAGGCGCTATACAAATGTAATCTTGTTGTTTTCTGTGTACATGAGACCAGATCTTGCAAAGCCCGTACTGGTATTGATGATTAGCTCATACATTTGCCTACATGAGAACATTCACTTTATTTCTGTTTAAACACATTGGATAAATCGCTTGGAAGAAGTTTCACTGTAAGTTGCACTATGTAAAGGTAAGTTGTTCCTGCTGCAATCCAGCCTCATCATGTGGAAGTGTTAGAAAGATGTGGGTGTGGACCTACACTGAATGCTCAAAACTTGTATTTTTAGTCAGTGGATCAAATCCACTAATAGCTGACGCTATTTGTCAGCCTGGCTCAATCGGAACCTCGATTGGTAGTAACTCTCTTAGAAGGTAGTGGGTACAAACCCCACATCGGGACTTTGAACTCACAGTCTAGGGCCCGACCATCCAACACATGGCTCGGAGTTGCTGCAATGTTGGAGGTGTCGTCGTTTGGATGAAATGTTAAATCAAGATCCAGTCTGTCTATTCAGGTGGACATCAAATTTCCCAAGGCACTATTTGAAAAGTGAACGGATATCCTGGCCAACAACCCCTCAAAATAGCTTTGGTCGTTCACTTTATGGCTGTTTGTGGGACATCGCTGTGGCAAAATTTGTCTGCCGTATTCACCTACAAAAATACACAAACCAATACACTTTACAGTGGATCCTGGAAAAGCTTTCAGACATCCTATGGATGCGAAAGGTGCTGTATTAAGTGTAAGAATTATTATTATTATTTTTGGAACATCATGTTAATAAATTTTCATTTTTTTAAAAAAAAATTCCACAAAGAACTAGTACAAGATGGAGTACAGGAGAGGATGTTGAATCCTCTAATAGGTTAATGTTTGAATCCAAATCCATTTTAATCTGAAAACCAGCCATATGAC